GAATGCAAGAGTCTTGATAACAGATCAGAAGATTTCTGCAATAAAAGATATAATTCCTCTGTTGGAGAAAACCACTCAATTGAGAGCCCCCTTGCTGATCATTGCTGAAGATATCACTGGTGAGGCTTTGGCTACCCTTGTTGTGAATAAGCTGCGGGGTATTCTTAATGTTGCTGCCATCAAAGCTCCTGGCTTTGGTGAGCGCCGAAAGGCCCTCCTTCAAGACATTGCTATATTGACAGGTAATATTTTGGGTGAAATTTGAATGAAAATAATTTGCAGTATTAGTAATGTTAAAAGTAGGTTAAACCTTCAATATAAATTCTATTTGAAGCAAGGGTCTAGTCATTTGTCAAGTAATTCACAAATTCTGTTTAGGCTATATGATGAAATGGTATATCTGTTTTGAATATGATTACTTCTTTCTAAGCATGCATATGTTTTGGTAATAACATTCTATAATATATATCTTCGTGATGTGCCTTGGTTGACAACATTGCACCTCTTACTACTAGGTGCTGAGTTCCAAGCCAGTGATCTGGGCCTACTTGTGGAAAACACTTCAGTTGAACAGCTTGGTTTGGCTCGGAAGTTGACTATCTCCAAGGATTCAACCACTATCATTGCTGATGCTGCATCAAAGGATGAGTTGCAAGCCCGGGTTGCACAGTTAAAGAAGGAGTTGTCAGAGACTGACTCAGTGTATGATTCAGAGAAGCTGGCTGAGAGGATTGCTAAGTTATCTGGTGGAGTTGCAGTCATCAAGGTTGGTGCTGCTACAGAGACCGAACTTGAGGATCGTAAGCTCCGTATCGAGGATGCCAAGAATGCAACATTTGCTGCCATCGAGGAAGGCATTGTACCTGGTGGAGGTACTGCATTGGTTCATCTGTCTGCCTATGTCCCAGCTATCAAGGAAACGATTGAAGATGCAGAAGAGAGGCTAGGAGCTGACATTGTGCAGAAGGTGAGAATTTTGATCAGTGTGCAGCACGTATTTTAATGAGCATGGTATAATCATTATTTTCTCTGATAAATAACACCACCAATTCTAGGGTATAATATTAATATTACATTAACAATATATGCCCAGGTAATATTAAGAATATAGCGCAACAATATAATATCATTTAACCAGTGTGAATGAGAAATTGTTTTTTTTTTCTGTGGTGGAAGCAATTTTACCCCTACATGTTATTGTTGAGTTCCTTTAAAGCTGGAAGTTGATTGCATTTGACATAATGTTACAAAAAGTAAAAGTACAGTGGATGCTTCCATGCATACCTGAATTAGTGCGCTGTCTGGCAGAAATATTTTTATATAGAAGCATGACTTAGTGCAAGGCTTTTTTTTTTTTATAACTTGATTGAATGAGATTGCAGAATAATATTTCCAATGCTGATTTTTCTACTTGTAGGCATTGGTAGCACCTGCATCATTGATTGCTCAGAATGCTGGAATTGAAGGTGAAGTTGTTGTAGAGAAAATAAGGAATGGTGAATGGGAGTTTGGTTACAATGCCATGACAGACAAGTATGAGAATTTAGTGGAGGCTGGAGTAATTGACCCTGCCAAGGTAACAAGGTGTGCTTTGCAGAATGCTGCTTCAGTTGCTGGAATGGTCTTGACCACTCAGGCCATTGTTGTGGAAAAGCCTAAGCCCAAGGCACCTGTGGCTGGTGAGCCACAAGGCCTTACTGTTTGATTTTTAGGTAACAGTTTTGTGTAGAAAATTGATTGATAGAGCATGAGTATTCCACTGTCCATTGAATTGGAAAAAAAAAATATGTATTTGTATTTGTAGTAATCTTAGTCTTGGATATGATCTGATATGTAAGGGAAAAGGGAACTACTAAATGTTGATCTCATGGTAGCATGTCATATGATTGGAAGTAAGACAATCATTTGAAATTACTATCACCAATAATTTTTATTTTATTTTACCACCAACATTTTTTAAAAACGACAACCTACAACTTAACTGCAATTGCATGCTAAGGTTAGTTCGTACTTATTTAAGTGTTTATCCTACTGGTGTTTTAAATTACTCAAAAATGTAAGGTTACATTAAAATTTCACGAAAATAAGTTTGCTCTGTAAATTTATTTCAAACACTCAGATAATTATTATTGCTTAAATTTAGCCGTGGATAATGATGAAAAAAAATAAACTTAACAATATCTGAACATGCCAATTTTTAAAATCATGACAATATCAGTTTTAATCATGGATATTATTATTGCTTAAATTCAGGCGATTGCATAATGAAAGTAAGCAATAATTTCCATAAAAAAATAAATACCATGTTATAAAATAATAGTATTAATTAAATAACTATAATTATTAGATATTTATCCCATATAGATAAACTATGATATCCAAAGAGGAGATGGTCATGTGATGGAAATTGCAACCACACAATTTATGAGATTTAAAAAAGTTCCTAGCATGACAAACTTCTCTATCATATATATGATTTTTCCCCAAATCTAAGCTTATTTATTTAGACATTCTTTTCCTCTCATAACTAATAATTGCTCTTAAATTCTCTTCCAATTTTTTCTTTCTTTAGTAATTTTTCAATACACATGTGAGCTGCAATACTTATATGTGCTATGCACCTCTAGGTCTAGATGTTACTACTCTACTGAATCACAAGATAAAATATATGAATATGCGTATCATCCATAATAAAATGGGGATTACGATTCAGGTGTCCCATACTCCGATGACCTGTCATGCCTTCTCAAATTTTGACACATGAAAAATGATTAAACGACTTTTATTTTCCCTATGTTATTATACATTCTTCATTACAGTCAAATCCTTTTAGTTTTTCATTAATTACAATCTAACACTCTTCTTTTCACAAACTTTCCCTTCTATATCAAGCAAACTTCTATATGAAACTTATAAAACTAGTAACTAATAAGTTAGTTGATGAAATATAATATTTTTTATTTTCGGTACAAAAAAATAGAAGAAACCAAGGTGAGAGATCCAAAACTAAGAAATCGGTCGCACCAACTGGAGCACTTACCTAAATCTTGAGTCTTGTGCCCGAAAGAGCGACAATCTTCGCCAAAAAGTCCGCCAAGACTCTCTATGAATAAAGCTAATCTGAACAACCCAGCAAGGAGCAAGCAACTTACAGATTCTACTCACCACATCAGAATCCTCTCGTATCTAACCACAAGACTCTCTATAATGATTTGCACAACCTCCATAGTCCAAACAATCACATTCGAGCACAATAGATCTAAATCTCCCATTGAACACAAGCAGCTACATAGGTGACATCCTAGTACCGAGAACCTATAATAGTATCATTCCTCAATCTCCAAGTCCACCAGATACCTACTAAGAAAAACTAACCGTTAGGGACAAGGCCAAGACAATACCAAAGAATGGCCAATCTCTAATATCACATATATGAAGGTTGTTAATTTATTCCTACTTTAAATTAACACTAACTTTTTTGAATGATTTGTTAAACATTTTGCTGAACGTTTTTTTACACTAAATATTTAAGCCAGCAGTAGCACCATCAGAGTCTGTGAGTGATATAAAATACAAAAAACTAGTACATGAATAATTTATTGTTTTTTATCAGCATATTATTTTGTATGCTATATATTAATCTCTTACAAAGAAAACCTCCTAGGTTGATTCAAATTTTTGTCTGTAATTGTTGCTAACCCAACATTACCACTTGAAATGTGCTACAACTTTCTAGATACTTCTATATAAATGTGGCATATTTAGCTTTGTTTCTAGAGACTTCTATAAGAATGTGGCAATGCATAATATTTAGCTTGTGTCTAGAGAATTCTAGATAAGTTACGTTATGATAGATATAACATGTATTGTCTAGAAGTTTCATGAGATTCTTGAGGGGTTCTATAAATAGGACTTATGAGGTTCATCGTAAAATGTATGTTCTCCAACAATTTAATATTGATCAATCAAATGTATGTTCTCTTCATCTAAAAAATCTCCTCATATGCAACTACCACTTCTATCCCCCACTAAAACCCAACAATTTAATATTTTCATGTCAATTTTGATTGATATGGTTTCAGAACAGTAAATATGCCTGGGTGAGTGGGTGTAATGTGAATCATTACCTTTTTTTCAGAATAAGAATATAAGAATATGCCCAACTGAATTTCAGTAAATTCATTTTACCATAACCTTAATCAAAATTTGAAGTATATATGGTACAATTTTAAACAATCCGGTGTATGATACAATAAAATGCAAACATCTGACATAGCAAATATCAATTCTTAGGTTAATAACCACGCCTTTTTTATTCTATGTACTTAATATAAATCTAAGATTTTAAACATTAGCACCTGAATCCATCACATGTGGAAGATACTGCAACACAATTTAATTGATGAACTCGATTATTTATACATTGAAGTTTTGACATCATATTTGATGTCATATATATTTATGTCTATCTCTATATACTCTATTTTTTTATCTTTTCTATATACACGTCTTCCAAATTTTAATGTGCATTAAACATTTTCCTTAAATAGTTAAAAAATAAAAAATACCAGTCCAAAGACAACCTTATAATAAAAACGGAATCTTATTATATCCAAATGTGGCAGTGTAAATGTAATCACCGGTCACAGTTTTGATGATAGCTACCCAATATTGAGTTAAAAATGAAATTTAATTTATTCCTTCTATGATCAATTCACAGATTCCGTTCATGAATAGTTTGAACTTTGAATATATGTGGAGCAAACAAAAGAGTGAGAGCTATTGGTAGCTACTTCAGACAGTTGATAATAGTTTAGAATACTGAAAGATTTTATTGGTGGCTCCTTCTCTTGCTAAAGAGAATAAAACCTGACATTGGATGATGGAAGCAATGTACGTAGTACATGATAGCACTGGCATGTGATCATGTCCATTTTGACGCTTATCTTGGTGTGAAACTTGTGCAAAAGCTGCAGCAGCAGCTATTACCATGAGCCATTGCTTTAACAACAAGTCAAAACAGGAATGTATAGAACCAACGATATTCAAGCAAAAATATAAAAATATTTCATTTGGACATGAGATCTTTATCCCTCAGTGATGCTTCAGTGAGACACTGCAATTGGCTTGTAACATCTCCTTGATGGCAGCAATGAAAACTAATGTTTGATATTGTACCCAAAAAAATATTATTCAATATAATATGGTACATTCATAAACTGTTATCAAATTGTGTATTTGCTCAGAATCCATGCTGTTAATCTTTTATTCAACAGAGATAAATTGAAAGTGATGTGTATGTCTTCATTTGACAGTAAGCATAGATAATCATATACAATCTCTCCATTCCATATCTTTTAATGTTTTGGCCTTAATATCTTACATCTACAAAGTCATAAATCAACTAATGCAGTTTATATGGTTGCAATGAAATGAATGTGTAAAAGGAAGGTATGCATAATGAGTACTTACAAAATATCTATATGAACCAGAAGCTAGCGATCGAGTTGCCAATGTAGAGAACATTAAGACCAGTGAGTGGTCCTTGATCAAAATAAAGATAAGCACCGACGGTTAATTCATGTAGCTACAGAGAAGTAGGGTAACCTGATATATATGGAAGGTGGTGAATTTCAGGCACAGAAGAGTGTTAGAAAGTGATGGAGCACACAGATTTCCATGATAAGATCTTGAATATACTGAACCATCACTATCATCAATATTGAAGAAGATATTGCAATATATTTTCTATTTTTTGAAAAAAACTTCAGAAACCCTCTCTACTTTTATCGTTTAACAATAATAATAATAATACCTTTAAGCATTATTCAAGCCTCAAGAGAGGTGAAAAATAGATGGACCGAAATATCACTTCCTCTAGAGATAAAGTACTTATGGAGGTGAATAATAGTTGGTCCACAAAACCAAAACCTTCATCATGGAACCGAGGAACTGATGTCTATTCTATGTCCGTGATTTTGCATATCCAAGTTCCCAAGCCAGCTTCAGTTTTCAATGATCTGCTAAATTTCTGAGATATGCAAACCCACTTGCAATGACCACTTATAATATATATATATATATATATATATGCATCATTATGTTTTTATTTTAAAAAATTGACTTAAAAAAATACTTTTGCTTCTGCACTTATGATGCTTCAATAAATTTAAGAAAATGCAACTCTTCCAAATATGTATCAAACAGTTAGTCATATGATCAATGGATCTCATGAAAGGCAAAAACTCATAAAAGATAGTGGCAACATCAAACCCTAAAATTGAAATACCATTAATTATTTCCTTTTGTGCTTGTCATTATCACATTCTCTCTAGGTTTTATAAAGTCACATCTTCATCTATATTTAGAAACTGAAAAGGCACCATGACCATGTCCATCCCAGCGTTTCTGTTGAAAAGGAATATATTCATAGATCTGTGCAGTCAGCACATAAATGACCTAAAAGTCACTTCCAGATAACCCTATCTTTGATAACCTAGGACTGTCTGCAATGTGCAAAAAAGCTAGTTAACGTATTAAAGTAATAAGTCAATAAAAAAACAAAGATTTAAGCACTGCAAGGCAATATACATGTCCATTGAATAAAAAATTGCAATTATCAATTGAAAACAAAGGATAACACTCATCTGACAATAAAAAAAGTAAAGTGGAAAGGGTCACCTCTTGTTGTATAGATGTGCAGATCATGGACAGTTATGAGGTTTGGACTTTGGACAGTGTGTCCATTACCCCACAAAAACTTTTGCTCTGTTGTTGCCTCTATTTTTTGGGTTAAAATGATACTTATCCAACTTTATAAAGTCATTTATGGCTGATGCAGCATCATCAAGATTCTCACCTCAAAAGACCTATGGCATAGCAGAGACCTAAGATTGCATTAGATTCCACCTACCTGCATTTGTATGTGAATCTTGTTGATGCTACATCCGCAAATAACAACTGTCAATCTGTCCATGCAACTATACCTCCAAAAAGAATATATATATAGAGAGAGAGAAAACGAAGAGTATATTATAGATCTTTTAATAAAAGTCACAACTTACACAAAGAATGAACAATCTAACAGAAAATTTGTTGACTAAAGAGGAATTAAATATGGGACAACATGAAACATACATAGGCACAGTAATTAAAGTTAGATTTTTTTAAAATTAAAAAGTTAAACAAAGAAAAAACTGCATACTTTCACAACCTCTAAATTAAGCTCGAAAAAACTGCAGAAAATAGGACTTAAGCCAAGCTAGTTACCTTCAAAATCTACAAGTAACTTAATGATGTTTGTGGTAAAAAAATAATCTTGAGTACCCCCTTGGACTCACTTTTAATACAAATTTTCAACTGATAAAAAAACATCGACCCTTTTCGATTCAAGATAACTAATGAAGAAAAACAATAATAAAATCTATGTGAAGGGGAAAACACACATATTAGCAAATCACAGTATATACGGAAGGGGATAATGATCAAAAGAAATAACTATATATGCAAATATTGCTGAAATCTGAAGAACAATCAAATAGACACATATATGTATAGAACAACACCAAAATGTACATTTTTGTAAACAGAAGAAAATACTTTTAATTAAAAAAACTTCAGAACGGCTGAGATCTAACCGGTAAGGAGAAAAGGAAAGTAAAAAAAAGGAGTAGAAGGAAAGAAAACCTAATTTGGAGTTGGATGATAACAGTAGGAGGGGTTGGGCAAATATATATAGAGGGACACAACTCAATACTTCTGCGATTGGTGATTTGTTTCTCTATATTTCTATTGGCTGAGCTTAGCTGTATCTACTGTACTTTAACAAGTGATATAAGGAGAGAAAAGAATGAAGACCACATTTGTTATGTCTCGAGTGTGTCTCAATCTACTTAAAAACTGACATATAATTAAAAAAATATAAAATATTTTTTTTTACATTACGTGATCCACAAAATAATTGACTTGGAACATGAGAACATATATTTTTCGAGTCATGTAATCCTTATTTGACATATAACATTGATACTCAAACATTCATGTTTTCATGTCCCACCAAATAATTTATAAAAAATATTTTTATAATTTTTCTTTTTAAGTAAGTGACAATTTTCTATTAGATCGAAACATCATTGAAACACAAAAAGTATGAGAACTGATCTCACTCTTAGACATAATCTCCCATAAACCCTAGTTTTGAATAATACTTTATCACTTCACCTCACAATAAAGTGAGATGTGTAGGGTCAGTTTTCACATTTTATAGGTTAGGTGGGTAAAATTATGGCCCATAGTTTAGAGAAAAAACTTAAGTATATTTGAAATTTGTATGTATAGGTTTGAAAACTAGTGATGGACAAAGTAAAATGGGAGAGCGAAATAAAAATGGATTATTATTATTGATCAAAAGAAATTAATGAAGTAATACTTTTATGATAATTTTTTAACAAAATAATCCCAAAAAAATGTGAAGACATAGATATATATTCTTTTATGAGTTAATTATTGTTATTTATTATAGACTTGAGTTTAAAATATATTTTTAGTCAATTTCTAAATAAGCCTTAAACAATCTCACACTAGGTCGGCCTCTTATTTTAGTTATACATTAGCTATAATATAATACAGTGATTGTTATAACTTATAACTAACAAATTATTAAGCAATTCATACATAAAATAATAACAATGGATAATACAACTAAGTTAAAATTAACAAAAGCAATAGGGGACATTCCCGTACCAATTATTTTTTCATAAGAAATGTAGAGGTACATTTAATTGTTGGGTGTAGATCCTCTCCATTAATGAAAATGGAAGTACATCAAAAGTAAAGGAAATAAATAATATGATGTGATATTTTTATCCCTTAAAACAAAATCATATTACATCTCTATCTTTGAAAGTAAGAGTAAAATCAACAATTTCTCTCTTCATTAATGAAGATGAGTAGGTAAAAAAGTTACAATTGTATGTCATGTGTCGCAAAGTAGGTGCATTCCCAAAGGGTCGGCCTTGTACTAGTCATTAGGTGATTTAATATAGTAGTGTGAGGCCTTAGGATGTCTAGATATCATATAAGGTTAGGATTAAGATTAGACTCGTGAAAAATATGTGTGAGTATGAGATGGGTTATCAAACATGATGTTTCAAAACCATTCATTTTCAAAAATATTTTATTTTAAGGGTATTTTGTCTTTTAAATCATATATGATTTATCTCTTCTCACTTTCTCATCTATTTCTCTGATAGCAAACAATATAAAAATTAATCCACTTTCCTATTTCTTTTACTCTTTTTTCTATCTCTTTATTATATTTCTCTCATGTTTATTTCTTCTTCTTAATTTCTTTCGTGAATGAATGAGCTTAAGGTTTAGGATGATATCATTATTGTTCTGAAAAATCATGTTCACGTGGGCTTGCAGTCCCGTCCGTACACTTTGTTTAATGGAGCATCATGAACATTACCATTCATGCGTTTATGGTCATGCTGTAAAACCAACCACAACAAAAATATGTTTCCATCTGTGCCCAATTGCCCATGTGAGACCCACTCATCTAACTATTCACGTGTTCTCCTACTTGTTTTTCAGTATCACATTTATTATCTGCACTTTCCTTTGGTCCATGTACCTCTTACACTGTACATTTTAGTTACTCTTATTTAAGTATAAGTGACTAGAATTAAGAGATACTGTTAGATGTTATAGTGTTTATTAAGCCTACTTACTAAGTTACATTACTTTTTTGTCCTAGGATGTTCCTCACCGTATGAGTAAGTAATTAATATCTTTCGGGAGTGATTGAACCCTAAACATTTTGTTTTTTCTGAGAATCTATTGGACCTGGTACTAAACCAAGAAACAGTCACAAAAATAATTAATACCGACCCTCTTTAATTTGTTTGTCTAAAATTGGTCTAATCTCAAAGTCTGGCTGTATCAGTGATGCTCTCCGCTGCTAATTAATCAATAATCATCTAACTAAAGATACGATTCAATTTTGATGGAGCGTCTAACTTAAAATTTTATACATCATTATTAAATTTAAATTATATCATCTAATTAAGAACGTGTTCACAGTTAGGTAGTGTAGTAAATTAAGATAGAAACACTTAACTTACTCATTTTAGTAGTCATAATCTCACTTTATAAATAATAATGTGAAGAACATGTGATATTTCTTCCAAACGTGCTCATTTTAAATCTCTTTTCCAAATTTTGCAATCTGGTACAAATCCTAATTCCACGTAGTGTGGACAAACGCTTCAAGTCCTTCTATTCATTTTTATAGAAATAAGTCATACATGATATACTAATTGTGTATACATTTTTATACTGATAGTGTGCATAAATATTACACTAATCATTTATTTTAGTTCTTATAATACAAGCCTTCAATAACCTTTTAATTCCAAAATTTATGTGATTTTCAATTTTTGACCTTTAAATAGTTTTAGCCGATATTCATCCCTAAATTTTTTTTTTTATGGCCTTTTACCAATGATATTCTTTCACCTTTTGGTAAGAACTAATCATTTTCTGTGTGTGCAATTGCACCTCCCAACAAGTGTTGCTCTAAGAAATTGAACTCTTGATATTTTGGTCATCTTGTGAATCTGGTGGGACTTTACACCACTAGACTAACATTCAGTGACGAATCTTAAACCCATATGCAAAAATAAATACCATTATATATAAAAGGATGAAAACATTAATACCAAAATCACAAGATTTAAATATATCTAATTAAATAAATTATATATTTCATAATTAATCTCTAAGTGACTTCATATTTTGAAATTGTTGAATTCAATGTTGTGAGAACTGGACCGGAACGGGCAATCCGACAACTCACTAGACTTAAAAATGACTCTAATTTGTAGTTTTGGCCGAATGATAGTTGGATCATTTTGAACATGGAAAATTCTAGCTGTGTCATGTTAAACTTGGTTAACCGGAATAACCTGAGAAATAAACCAAACGATTTACTTAAAATTTAAAAAATGGAACGCTATTCTAATCTTTTGTTTTACTCTTGTCCAAAAAATGGAAAGATATTACTTTAATATAATTATACATAATTATTAATTATATAAAATTTTACACATATATAATTATATAGATAAAAATTAGTAATTATATATGAAATCATCCGGTCCGACCAGACAGTTTAACCGTTTAAGCCGGTTAAACCTTATATCTCACCTCTTTTGGTTTAATGTTTGGTTCAAATTTCATAATATTGGTTAAATTATCAATTTGTTGTCAACATTATTAAACACTTATCGTTCAATATAAATGATTACACATTCTTTCATCCATGCATCTCATTTAATAAGAGGACCTATCTTTCATTGAGACACAATAGAACATCTTATAATTATAAAAATACTAAATATTTAGTGATGTTTGTAAAACTTTAATTGTGTATTTAATGTAAATGGAGTAAGTTACTAAAATGATTATTCAAAAGTATTACTTTTTATTAAATAAATGATATATTATAAATATATTAATGATACATTAATATTTCACTAATTTAAGGTACTCAAGTTGGATAGAAAGAATTATTCAATGTATTAAAATTTAGAAACATCTTTTATGAATAAATACAATTACATTTCTTTCTCACAATATATTCATATCCACTTTATGAATACTCTATTTGATAGTGTATATACTGCTCAAGTATTCAAGTAGTTTTTTGCTAGAGTCAAATTCACTAATATTTTTTTCTATTTTGAAAATGACTAGTCTTACGGTATTAATTAGTGAATGATGATGGATATACAGAAAATTTTAAGATTCATGTATTAAAAGTTATTAACCACTTTAAAGGCATAAGAGTACATACAAATGATTAGTAATATAATATAACTTATGTTGTAGCAACACAACCCTCTTCTCTTCTTTTGTGTTATCTAACATTAAAATAAGAGTTAAATATATGTGCCACAAAAATGCAATTACATATGGCTATTTATAAAAATATTTGTTCCATGTAATAATAAAAAATAAATTTTTATTACTACTAATCTCTATTTTCTCATCGTATATATATAAAGAACTAATTAATGGAATGCGTGATTGTCCTTCAATAAATATTACTCACATGAATTAAACTTTTGACATTTTAATATCAATGAGATCTAGTGAAATATTACACGACTAGACTAACACATTGATAATAAAAAATAGTTTATGTGTGTAGACAAATATCATAATATCTGCTAGCATTTTTTATATACATCATAAAATTTTCTCATAAATATTTATTTAATAAAAGGAAGTTTTACACTACATAGATTATTTTCTCTTAAAATAAACATATATTAAATTAAAAATATTTCTAACTTCTAAGTAATAAATTAATGTAATGGTGAAGTGTTAGCTTCCTATTGGTCTAATTCAAATAGGCAAAAGTGCACAGTAATAAATATTATTTTTTTAGTAAGACATGATATTATTTAAATTTGTGTAGTCGAGTTTCTAGTGACCATGAGCATGCTGTGTTCTCCTTCCTTCATCGCGCGATTAGGGTATGCACTTTTCCCCTCTGTTCCTTCACACTTTAATTCCACCTTCATTTCATTTTCTCTTTTCTCTCCAAAATTCCTAATTTATCGCCACACGGTACGATATTTTGTTCCTCTATATATGTCACCTGTTATTTTTTCCGATGTGTTATGTACTTTAAATGTGGATTTTCCTTTGTGGTAAATATTCCATCTTTGTAATTTTGTTTCCTTTTCGTGTTTC